ATGATTTTTGGCACTTCCGACCTGAATTAACTCTATATATTGGTTTAATATACAATAGAATAAAGATGGTGGTTTTTTGGTGAGAGACTCTGGCAGATTCACTGGAAAATACACTGTCTCTGTGTTCACCAAGGCTGGTGGGTGAGTTTGATCAAGCTATACATTTGTTTCACAGTTAACTTATCAAAATGAAAGTGGAAAACTGACCCTGCGGAAGAGAGATGTAAATCTCTCTATGCAAAACTAGGATAAGTCCTATCAGGTCAAGTTTCCCACTGTGTAAATTGTCATGGGACTGTGCTGTTCGTCTCTCAAGTTTTTTGTGAGACCAATTGAAGATATGACTTGAAACCAAAGTGATTGTGAGAACTTAATTTCTTGTCTCTCTCCAGGGAGACTGCTGGCAGCTGCAGACACTACAACATATGCGTCACCACAGAAGGCCAGTTCTATTTAGCGGAGAAGCACAACTTCAGCAGTATCCCAGAACTTATTAATTACCACCAGCATAATGCAGCAGGTAAATCTAACCTTAACCACTTGCATGCGAATACACAATGTCAAATGATAGGTGTAACAGCTTTTAATCAAAGAAAATATGTTTCAGGTCTGGTGAGCAGACTAAAATACATTGTGTCAGATCGGGCTCGGAATGCTCCCTGCACTGCTGGTCTGGGTTATGGTGAGTTTATATTTGTTAGAGCACGGCACTAAGGACGCCAAGGTCATGGGTTTGATTCCCAGGGAATGCATGAACAGATAAAATGCATAACTTGAATGCAGTGGAAGTTGTTTTGTGATAAACGCACCTGCCAAATGCATAAATGTAAAAATGTAAATGTAAATATTTGGCTGTATGCTTCTGACAGTTCTCACTAAATGGGTTTGATTGAAACTGTGTGCTAAAATTGTCCTCTCCTCCTACTTTTCATTCCAGGAAGTTGGGAGATCGATCCTCGTCAGCTTACATTTATCAGAGAACTTGGTAATGGTCAGTTTGGAGTGGTAAAGTATGGGAAATGGCAAGGCCGTCATGACGTGGCCATCAAAATGGTTAAAGAGGGCTCAATGTCAGAGGATGACTTCATTGAAGAGGCCAAGGTCATGATGTAAGTATACACTATTGTTGAAAAAAAAAAAAAAGTATGGTGTCAGTAAGATTTTTTTCAGCAAGGATTTCACATAAATGCTGATGTTTTGAACTTTCAATTCATCAAATAATCCTGAAAAATTGAGCCATGGTTTCCACAAATTGAGTAGCACAACTTTTTTCAGCATTGATAATAAGAAGAAATGTTTCTTGGGCACCAAATTATTAGAATGATTAATATTAGAAGGATTTCTGAAAAAATCCTAAATGTATTAAAATACATTCAAACAGAAACGTTAGTACATTGTAGTAATATTTCACAATATTACTCTGTTTTTACTGTATTTTTGATCTGTGTTTCAATCATGTTTATGTCTATAATCTATCATTTTCTGCTGTATAACGCTAGGAAACTGTGTCACGGAAACCTGGTGCAGCTCTATGGCGTCTCCACAAAACAAAGACCCATCTACATAGTCACAGAATATCTCGCCAATGGATGTCTGCTGAATTACTTACGGGATGTTCTGCAGCACCCCTCGAGTATTCTGCTCCTTGAGATGTGTAAAGATGTCAGCGAGGGCATGGCCTACTTAGAGGCCAATCAGTACATCCACAGAGACCTGGTTTGTGTGACACAAAAATGTGTCATTGCATGTCATTGTCATGTTCCTTGCCAACTGGAAGAGATATTTTACCAGTAAAATGTCTCTTTTTTTTTTCTCATAGGCTGCCAGGAACTGTTTAGTAGACTCAAATGGAACCATTAAAGTGACTGATTTTGGATTGTCCAGGTAATTTTATGCATGGCCCAGAACACTATTTGAGCAACTTACTATACTATACACTGACTTACTATATAAAAATGACTGCTGTTCTTACAGGTATGTTCTGGATGATGAATACACCAGCTCCGTAGGTTCAAAGTTTCCAGTGCGCTGGTCGCCTCCTGAAGTCCTCCTTTACTGCAAGTTCAGCAGCAAGTCAGATATCTGGGCATTTGGTGCGTCACCACTGCATTTCCAGCAGAACTTTACCTTCTATCAAAATCATGGTTTCATTTTCTCTTATATTATTTGTCTGACAGGTGTTTTGATGTGGGAGGTGTACACTTTGGGCAGAATGCCATATGATCGGTGGAACAACACAGAGATAGTAGAGAAAATTTCTGCAGGTCATCGGCTTTACCGCCCACAATTGGCCAATGACAAAGTTTATTCCATTATGAACAACTGTTGGCATGAGGTACACAGCTTTATACTATGTTGAAACATTTTGTCAATGTAGACATGACAAAAGTCAAATAATTAAAGAGTTTGCCTTCTCTCTCTCTCTTTTTTTTTTGTAGAGACCAGATGAGCGGCCCACATTCATGGATCTTGTCATGACCATCAAGGATTTGCTTTTCAATATGTAACAGACACAGCTACTGTGCATCCTTGGACATTAAGAATACAGCCCATCAGATGCAATAGTCTTGTGTATGGCATGGCAAGAATCATTATTATTATCAGTCTTGAATAACCTTCTTAATTTCTTTCATCTAAGGAACCCAATAAAATAATAAATTAGTATGAGTTTAAAATGTTACAAGAAAAAAAGGAGATTGGAATGTGATTTCTCATGTAACATTACAGTTTTTACTTTTTACATTTTCCTTAAAGCATGATATATTATGAAATTCCTAAGTTTCATACATGTATCTAAATAGCTGCTCTTTAATATTATTAAAATTATTCATAATAACCAGCAGCAACAACAATACAAATAAAAATTCATGACTGTAATTTATATGTACATATAAATAATGACTGTGTATTGATTTTTATTGATTTGGCTTTGTATTTATATACAATATATATATA